AGCATTGAGAGGAACAAATGTGATGAAAATCAGGATGTTGCACGAGTATGGTCAATACCTGTAGAGTCGCAGCTCCCGATCGCAGCCCGACCGTTAGCCACCAATCTGGCCTTTAGCGGTACCACCACCAGCAACAAGTGAGGAACCCGAGTATGAGAGAGACAGAGCACTACTCGCTGAATCATTGAACATATGATCAAACTGTTCCATTTTATCTATCAGTAAAAAGATTCCACATCATCTTTTCAACCATATTTTGATTTTTGTTGATTGGAACTGACTATCCTTCAGACTTCGCCTTCAAGCACATTTCTCAGCTCTTCCAGTGAATTATACACTCGGGGGACACTAGAATCGAGTTTCGCTCTTATTAGAGCTTATCTATAGTGCATCTGCAACAACCTAACGCCCAGGATTTGAGATCCGGACCCATCGCACGATAAGGCGTGTGTATCACTGTTGTGCCAACTCGCTCATGGCAGGGCTGAACCAAATAGCCAATTCATATTTGTTCATTTGTCAACTTCCGATGTAGTCAGGCATGAGCTGGTTGGCACAGCGGTAACATATACACATTTCATGTGGGTCCGGAGTTCAAAACCCACACGGGATATTGGATATGCACTACTGATGAGCTCTAATAAGAGCAAAACCTGAGTCTGGTGTCCCTTCGAGTGTATGATTGACTGGAAGAGCTTAAGGATGTGCGTGAAACGAAACTGTGAAGGATGGTAGGTTTCAATAATTTCCGCGCCACCCTTCGCAAGTAACAATGAGTTAAATGCGAATTATTTTTCATGATTAACCTTATTCGTTTTGGTATGACATAATTTGTTGCGGGTTTTTTCCTATACGCTTCCAGTCACAACGAAAAAGATTGTGATGTCTAGTTTGGCACGAAACCGGGGTATTAACCATGGCAACCAGTTTTACCTCATTCCTATTCCGTCCCACACTCTGTTTCATCCCTTCTGTATCAAACGTATTCAGGACACGTGTTATTTATCGTCACCTGGGCAGTTCCGGTGTCTCCTTAAACTTACTCCAAACTTTACGCTATCTGTGTCTGGAACTATCAGCCCGTATGTCCGCGACAGCTCTTGCAGATGTAAGTTACGAAGATGAACTTCGAATTCACCTATCCATTCGATCGTTTCTGTTTTTTTTATGAAATACAACTCAAGTTAAACAGCACACAAAAGTCGTATCCTGTTGGTGTTGGGGAGTTATTCGAACTGGAAGTGTGTTGTTCGCAGACGTTACTTAGCCAAACTAGGCATCATCATCAGTGCTACTTCGGGGATGCTCCAGTCCACAGTGGGATAGTACTGTTTGAAGGTTTCGATTGGCTGGTTGCGTCCCTTTAATCCTATTGGTCAATAGCAACCAGCCAATCAAAACCCTAAAACAGAGCTATGTAAGTCCGATCCCACTGAGCACTGACGCTTCCCCGAAGTCGTACTGATAATGTTGCCTAGTTTGGCCACGAAACGTGAGCCAACAACACTTTCAGCTCAGACCACCTACCAACACTAGCATCCGCATCCCGAGTTACANTTTTTTCATTTTTCAAAATCTGACTACCAACCACAATAATGGACGATTATGTGGTTTGCTAGCTAGCTAGCTAGCTACAATAACAGACGTGTTGTGAAGCTGGGAATATCGACGCATAATGACACAAGGCCGAATTGTAATTTAATTTGATTATTTCGTAAATCCTAAACGATTATAGCATTCAATGCATCATGCGTGAGTCAATGTATATATATATATATATATATTGGTGTGTGTAAGTATATGTGATTCGATAGAAGGCACAGTATTATACGACGTGAAGAAAAGATTATGTACCGTCTGCATGCTACACTACATCGGTAAGAAAGGGGAATCACGCGGTCAGTTTAAAGTGCCAATAACACACTGCCAAGGATGACTTCGAACAAACTCAATGAACCACTGAGGTTCATTAATCCCATCCCCGTCACCATTTGTTACGTCTGGATTTCTAACTGTGTAGTCGTGGACCGGTAGCCCGCTGGCAAAGTAGAACAACCGTACGCCGGGTGGAATAGGCATATTATGACTCTTTCAAAATCAAAACAGTATGGCGAACAAGCTTGTTTTCGTAACTTCGTCTTCAGGCCTTTACAGTTAT